ATCACTCTCTTCTCCTTGGGCTACCTGTGTTTAATCATTGTGAAATGATAAATTAATTCCATAAAAGTTTTGTTTTGTCTTCTGAAAAGTTTTAGAATTCGTCTAAAAGCAAGTGACTTTCACTTTCGACTTTCTTCATATCATTAAAGCGTTTATACAATTAATATACAGTATTGTTTTTCTAACAATCCAACATATGGACTTCAATATTTATTTACGTAAAACACGTATTTCAATTAACTTATATTTACATATAGAATAATATTTAATTTTCAGACTGATGTCCCTTTTTTAAGTCGGAAAATTGCGTATTTTCTTTAAAAGATACTTAGAAGTTTCCTTTGATTGAACTGTTAAGCGTTCACATCGTCTGCACATCAATAAGTACAATTAAGAACAAAGGATTAATTCAACATTAATGACTTTTTTAAGATCGTAGACGTGATGGGATTGTAATCGACACATTAACACCAATTAATTCACTCAAAATATATTCATGTTATTTATTAAGAGTTGTGTATAGGTTATGAAGTTATCAAAATTTGGTTATCATAATGTCATTTTCAATGTTTCATGTGTTCTGACATCGTAATAACAATGTCATATATATATAAATGAGAAAATAACCCAGAGACATATTTATTATATATGTAATATATAATTATCTGTACAACCTTTTTTTACAGAAAAAGACAGAGACATATATTGGAACCTCAGCCTGGCAATTTATATATATATATATAATTCTTGCCCTGTTTCTGTTATTGCAATTATTTAATCAAATATATCGTATACCCGATAAGGATAATTACCTATATGTAATATATTTATTTTATTTAATCCGATCCTGCCCCGTTCCTGTAATTGCAATTATTTTATCAAATATACCTATACCCGATAAGGATAATTAAATATATACAATAAATATATATAAATAAGTCGGATCCTGCCCCGTTTTGGACTTAAATATATCTGATATTTATATCTTATACCCAATAAAAAAGATATAATAATATAAATATATATATTTACAATTTAATCCGATTCTGCCCCGATCATGTAATTGTAACTTGTTTATCAAATATACCTTATACCCGATAAGGATAATTAAATATATACAATAAATAATATATAAATAAGTCTGATCCTGCCCCGTTTCTGTCCGTTCCTGTAAATCGTCGCCTGTCCTCAATACAATACTCTTAATTATTTTATCAAATATATCTTATACCCAAAAAAAATTATATAATACTATAAATATAGGTCTCATAAGTAATAACGACATAAATGTGTATATATAATTTAGTCCGATTCTGCCCCGATCATGTATATCTTATACCCGATAATGATACTTAAATATATCTAATATAAATATCAATCAATGTATATAATAATTAATAGATTTCTGCCCGTTCCTGCCCGTTCCTGCCCGTTCATGTAAATCGTCGAACCCGTCGTTCATGGATCCGGTCTCTCTGTATCTGCGTATTCACAGCCTTCCGTGTTACTGTGACGTTGTTTGTCTCTTCCAATTTTTTCTCCTGATCTTTCTAATAGCGTAGCCTTTGTCACTGTATCTGATAATTGAGGTTCGTAATTGTGGAGATAAGCGTGAGATCTTCTGCAGTTCTGCCATTTGCCTAAGTGAAGTGATAAACTGCGTGCGCATCCTAACCCAAAAAGACGGAGTAGACGATCGAACTAAACAGCCGGACGTAACTGCCGGACGGAGTAGCTGAACCAAACAACCCAATGAAATAATTGGACGATAGGGACAGTCGAAATGACCGAACGGAATGATTTAGCTGATACGAACGAAACAGACGAAACATACGAACAGTGCTCGAACGGTGAATGATCGCTTTCTAGACGCTAGACTACCGCTAACCGCACGCAAGCCGCACGCAGAACGAACTGAACCTAGGTGGATACTTGGGCGTAATTCTAACTGTATGGTATGGGGTTGTCCGGCCGGCCGGCGTAAACTTTTGTTTGTCCGGCAATCTCCTCCTTCATTTTTCGACCGATCTCTTTGAAACTTGGTTTACATTATAATCATGATATGAAGTTGTGTCTTCCTTAAAAGAATTCTGATTCAACAATTTTTCCAAAAGTAATTGCCTAGCTTTGTTCATTTCAGTATTTGATTTTTTGTCAGGAGATCTCGATCCTTCTATATTTTTTGAAACTAAGTAGGCTAATTAATCATGATATGTTGTTGTGTTTCCTTGAAAAGAATTTTGATTCAACAATTTTTCCAAAAGTTATTGCCCTTTTTTTATTTCAGTATTTGATTTTTGTCCGGCAATATCTCCTCCTACATTTTTCAAGTTGTGGTTCCCTTAAAAGAAGTTTGATTCAACGGTTTTTGCAAAAGTTATTGCCCTTCGTTCATTTCAGTATTTGATTTTTTGTCCGGAGATATTTTCCTACATTTTTAGCTAACCGGGTCCGAAGGACCAAGGTGAGCTTATGCCATACTGTGGTGGCCGTCTGCCGTCCGTCAACAATTTCTTTAAACGACTTCTTCTTCTTAACCACTGATTGGAATTTAACTCAATTTGACTGGAAGCATCCTTAGGTGGTAGGGATTCAAAATTGTACAAATGGCGGAGCTGACCACCCAGGGGGCTGAGGGGCGGGGCAAAAAGGAGGCAATTTGGTTATATTGCTTTAAGCGTCTTCTTCTCTGGAACTAAGAGATGGATATCAACCATATTTAATTGGAAGCATCCATAGGTGGTAGAGATTCAGAATTGTACAAATGGTGTGGCTGACCCCCCCCCCCCCGGGGGGCTTAGGGATGGGGCCAAAAGGGGGCAATTTGGCTATATTGTTACAAACGACTTCTTCTGTAGAACTATGCACTGGATATCAATCATATTTAATCAAAAGCATTCATGGGATACAGGGATTCAAAATTGTACAAATGGTGTGGCTGACCCCCGAGGGGGCTGAGGGGTGGTGCCAAAAGGGTTATTAGGCTATATTGCTTTAAGCGACTTCTTCTCTGGAATTAAGAGATGGATATCAAGCATATTTGACTGGAAGCATCCCTAGGTGGTGGGGATTCAAAATTGTATAAATGGTGTGGCTGACCCCCCGGGCTAAGGGGTGGGGCCAAAAAAAGTGTATTACTTGGAAATGGTTGAGATCCCCACCATATAACCATATATACAATTGCTGAGTATTAAGAGAAGAATGCACATTTGCTTCCAGGATGGCCCTAGGGTCTGGCCCCACCCTTGGAGACATAGTCCCTGGGCCATAACTTTAAAACGGTTGAGATCCCAACCCCAAAACTATATAAACAAATACAGGGCATAAAGAGACGAAGGCAGTCATGATATGAGAATAGACCCTGGGGTCTGACCGAACCCCTAGGGACCTAGTTTCCTAGTCACAGCTTGGGAACAGTTGAGATCCCCACCCTATAACCATAAATACAATTGCTGAGTATAAAGAGATGAATGCACATATGCTTCCAGGATGGCCTTGGGGACTGCGCCACCCTTGGAGACTTAATCCCTGGGTCATAACTTTGAAATGGTTAAGATCCCCACCCCAAAACTATATATACAATTGTTGGGCATAAAGAGACGAATGCAGTCATGATAATAGAATTGATCCCAGGGTCTGCCCCACCCTTGCAGACTTAACCCCTGGGTCATAACTTTGAAATGGTTGAGATCCCCACCCCAAAACAATAAATACAAATGCTGGGCAAAAAGAGACAAATGCAGTCATGATATTAGAATTGATCCTGGGGTCTGGCCACAACCCTCACTAAATATGGTTGATATCCATCACTTTGTTCTAGAAGAACTTTTAGCTATATGGCAAAAGAACCCCTTTTTGGCCCTGACCCTCATCCCAGAGGGGAGCCACACCTTCCGTTTATACAAAAGTGAATTTCTCTTGCCAAAGGATGTTCTAGACTAAATTGAGATGAAATCCCTTAATTCCTATGGTAGAATAAGGATTTTAAAGGTTTACTTCTATTTCCACTCATTCATGATCATACAGAAGGAGGATTATTACAAATGATTTACCTTAACTTTCCCTATAAGGCCACGCTCCTCAGCTCCAAAGGGGACAATACTTTCCATTGATACAAAATTGAGTCCTTCTGCCTCTACACCACATTTGGTTCAAATCCCTCCATTCATACAGAAGAAGAAGGATTTTAAACATTTTCCCCTATGTTTTTCCTAATGGGCCCCATCCCTCTGCCACCAGGGGAGCCACACTCTTTATACAAAAGTGAATTTCTTTTGCCCAAGGATGTTCTACAAAAAATTTGGATCTACATGATTTACCTATAAATTTTGCCTTTTAAGGCCCTGCCTCTCTGCTCCCAGGGGTCCAAATCCTCCATTGATACAAAATTGAGTCCCGTTTACCGAAGGATGCTCAACTCCAAATTTGTTTGAAATCTTTCCATTTACAGTAATAGAAGGTTTGTTAACATTTTCTCGCCTGTTTTCCCTAATGGGCCCCGTTCTTCTGTCCCCAGGGGGGCCACATCCTCCATTTATACAAAACTGAGTCCTCTTTGCCTAAGGATGCTCAACGCCAAATTTGGTTTGAATCCCAAAACAGAAGAATTTTTAAACATTTTCCCCTGTTCTCTCTAATGGGTCCACCCCTCTACCCCTACTCCACTGTTTATACAAAATTGAATTCCCCTTGCCGAAGAATATTCTAGATGAAATTTGTACAGAAGAAGAATTTTATCTCAAATTAAGTTAAAATCCACAAAGTCATTCATACTTGCCTTTTACTGTATGTGGCACAGAGGATTGCACTTTTGAATTTTACTGAAGTGCAGCGGGAGTTCAATTCCCAGATTAAGACAACAACACTCCCCCCNCCCCCACACACACGGCCAACAAGATTAATGTTAGTTGAAATAACTTGTTTGATAAATGTAGTAAAAAAACAACGTTTACATTTTGTATTTTAAAATAAGGATTCATTTGTGACATTGCTGTCTTTAGGCCTGCGATACTGTGACCTCACACATAATCAGCTTGGAGAGCTACCAAACAACCTAGGCCACCTGCTGTATCTAGAACAACTATATGTGCGACACAACCACCTTGCTGACATCCCCTTACTCACCCAGTGTAGTAAGCTCAAGGTAGCCTGCCATGGATTGACACGTTCTTAAGAAAGTGTCCAATGTTTCGTGCTAATTGGATGTCTTATTTAATCAATATATCTGTTTATCTATTTATTAGCCCGAAGGGCCAAGTGAGCTTATGGCATGGTGCGGCGTCCTTCGTCCGTCCGGCGTCAACTTTTTAGGTCACCTGAGACAAAGTCTCAAGTGACCTATTGCGATCGCCTTTTGTCCGTCGTTGTCCGTCGTCCGACCGTAAACAATTCACATTTTCGACTTCTTCTCAAAAAACCCTGAACCAATTTCAATGAAATTTTGCAGAAACCTTCCATGGACAAAGGTCAACAAAAATAATTGCCGGTTTGGTCCCCTGCCCCCAGGGGCCTGAGGGGCGGGGCCAAAAAGGGTCAAATTGACTAAAATTTCAAAAATCTTCTTCTCAAGACCCAGATATGGTAGAATCAAATACTCTTCATAGATGGAAGGGTCTGAAGGTGCTCTACCAAAATTGTGAATTTTATAACCCTGGGGTATCACGTGTACCCCTGGGGAGGGGGTAAACTTTACTATAGTTTATGTAGGGAAATCACATTTTGGACCAACATTTGTTTAATTTCCATTGGAAGTAATTCAATTTGGGTTAGCATTATCAGTATTAGGTAGCAGTTTGATAGTATGCACCTATGAGCCCTGACTGACCCCCAGGGGCTGATGGGTGGGGCCAAAAAGGGTTGAATTGACTGAAATTTCAAAAATCTTCTTCTCAAGACCCAGATATGGTAGAATCAAATACTCTTCATAGATGGAAGGGTCTTAAGGTGCTTTACCGAAATTGTGAATTTCTTGACCCTGGGGTCTCACGTTTCCCCCTGGGGAGGGGGTAAACTTTACTATAGTTTATATAGGGAAATCACATTTTGGACCAACATTTGTTTAATTTCCATTGGAAGTAATTCAATTTGGGTTAGCATTATCAGTATTAGGTAGCAGTTTGATAGTATGCACCTATGAGCCCTGACTGACCCCCAGGGGCTGATGGGTGGGGCCAAAAAGGGTTGAATTGACTGAAATTTCAAAAATCTTCTTCTCAAGACCCAGATATGGTAGAATCAAATACTCTTCATAGATGGAAGGGTCTTAAGGTGCTTTACCGAAATTGTGAATTTCTTGACCCTGGGGTCTCAC